ATCCACCTACTTATCACCAATTGGTTTTAAGTAGAATATGAAAACTATGGTTAAGCATGCTTGACTTACCACAGTCACATGATGGGTGACCCACTGGGAAGTAAGCATAGTGCAGTGCTGTTGCTCAAAATCAGTGAAGGCAAAGACAATTTCGGAAGTAAGCTCTAGGAAGGGACGTAGGTTGACAAGAACGTAGATGTTAGAAATTATCAGACAAAACCCTATAAACCAGAGTAGGGAGAAAGAAACTCTAGGGAGAATCCTAGAGAAGTCTTAAACTCTTAATTATCAATCAATCAATTATCCAACGACATTATACATCATTACATCCTTTATTGCTTCATTTTTTGAAAATATTTTAAAATATTACGGAGTAATATTTATTATTTATACATTTAATATTCAATTTAAAAAAATATATCCAAAGGATGAGAGAAGGATACAATGTGTATTGATCATTAACCGCAAGATGATACAAAGAGAATATTAGTATAAGCTATCTATTCCTATACAATAGGGAACTAGGTGAGAGGTAACAAGTGTACCTAGTCAATACCTAATATCTCTAACACACCCCCTCAAGCACAATGTTGGAGGGTAACAACATTGAGCTTGTCCCGAAGAGCCCCAAAGCGCGGAGCTAGTAAAGGCTTCGTGAACATATCAGTCAACTGATCCTTCGTGGACACAAAATTAACTTGAAAGTCACCAGCGGCCACCTTATCGCGAACAAAATGAAAATCAATCTTGACGTGCTTCGTCCTGGCATGGAACACTGGATTAGCACATAAGTAGGTGGCACCAAGATTATCACACCATAAGGTAGTCGGGCGACCAGAATGTAGCCCAAGCTCTCGTAATAAAGAAACAACCCATGTGACCTCAGCAGCAACATCAGCAAGACCCTTGTACTCAGCCTCAGTCGAAGAGCGAGCCACAGTCTGTTGCTTTCGTGATACCCAAGAGATAAGATTAGAACCCAGAAAAACTACAAAGCCACTGGTAGACTTCCGATCTACTGGACAACCAGCCCAATTCGAGTCCGAAAAGGCATGAATGTCGTAAGACGAAGACGCGGACAGCGGTAACCCGTGATTCTGCGTGCCCTTAACATAGCGAAGAACTCGCTTAAGAAAACCCCAGTGTTCCTCAGTCGGAGCATGCATAAACTGGCACAGCCGATTGATTGCATAAGAGAGGTCTGGACGAGTAATAGTTAAGTATTGAAGAGCACCGCCAACCGTCGATACTGAGTGGGATTATCAAACAATTCAGTCGTAGGAACCGCAGCCCGAGACACTGAGGCAAGAGTTGCAAGCGGTTTACAATCAGTCATACCAGCCCGCTTTAGAAGATCACCCATGTACCGCTGCTGGGAAAGAACCAGACCGCCGTCGACCCAAAGAGTCTCAATACCGAGAAAGAAACTAGGCGTGCCCAGATCTCGTATCTTAAAAGTGGACGAGAGACAACGCAACAGAGTGTCAATAAGCACAGGATCATCGCCCATCATGATGATGTGGTCAACATAGGCAAGCAAGAAAACTCTCGAGTCACCAGCCAAGTGGTGAAATAGGGATACATCTGTCTTGGAAGATGAGAACCCGGTAGATAACAGGAAGTCATGAAGACGCTTGAACCACGCCCAAGGAGCCTGTTTCAGTCCATACAAAGACCGCTGCAAGAGACAAACATGATCAAGATGAACAGAATTAGAGCACCCGGGGGGGGGGGGGGGGGCTGCCGTATGTAAACGGTTTCAGCCAAATGCCCATTAAGAAAGGCATTGTGAACATCCAATTATCGTAGTGTCCCGCCCCGGGAGACCGCATGAGAAAGTAGAATTCGAACTGTAATCAGTTTGACCACTAGGCTGAAGATGTCGAAGAAGTCTTCACCAACTACCTGATTTAAGCCCTTGGCTACTAGGCGTGTTTTGTAGCGCTCCACAGACCCGTCGGTCTTGCGTTTGGTACGATATACCCACTTGCATCCAATGATGTTCATGCCAGGTTCAATCGGGACTAGACGCCAGGTGTAGTTGTGGATGAGAGCATTGAACTCCTAATCCATGGCATCCCAGTACTGAAGATGTCCCACAGCTTCAGAGTAGCAAGTGGGGTCAACGAAGTCACTAGCCATAGCTAGCGCATGAAATTGCTCGCCAGTGCCCCGAGTCATATGACGCAGGGGCATGACATGAGTCCGGTCCTGAGGTACGGCACCTGAACCACGTCATCTTGGCGTGATAGCAACCTCCTAGTACCAGGCACATCGTCAATATCTGCCTGCACCGCAGGTGGTGGTTCTGTCCTCTCAACAAAAGGGACTACGGGACCGAACCCCAAGATAAAGTGGTGGCCGGTGGTGAAGTGTGAGACACCCCCTGCGAAGAAGAACCTGAGGCAAAAGGGAAAATATTCTCGTTAAACCGTACATGACGACAAATAAAAATTTTCCAGTATTTAGGTTCATGCAACGATACCCACGGAACGACATGGGACATCCCAAGAAAACACAAGGGGCAGACCGAAACTCTATTTTGTGCCGGTCATACGGGCGTAGGTATGTGGAACAGAGACACCCAAACACCCGAAGAAAAGTATATGAGGGCGGAGTTTAATATAAGCGATAATATGGACTGTCAAACTGTAAGGCCGAGGAGGGGATGCGGTTTATCAAGTGGCTGTTTCAAAAGCCGAATCCCAATGCTTTAGGGGAACTGAGCTTTCAGCTAGGAGAGACAAACCAGCCTCGACAATGTGTCGATGCTGACGCTCAACACGGCCATTCTGCTCGTGTGTATAGGCACAAGATTGCCTATGTAAAATGCCAAGTGATTTAAAAACAGAATGTAAACAACGATATTCGCCACCCAAATCAGACTGCACCGATTTGATAGAACGGGAAAACAATCGTTCTACCATGACACGAAACTCATCAAATATTTTATAGATGTCAGTTTTCAAACGTAGTGGATAAAACCGACAAAAACGTGTATGGTCATGCACGAACAAAACAAAATAACGAAAACCGTTCACAAAAACAACGGGGGCACGACCCCAAATGTCCGAATACACAAGATCTAAAACATTATTACTAGAGGAATCTACCCTATCTAATGAAAAACGAGACGATTTGCCGAGTTGGCAAGAGGAACATAATCTAGACGAACCAACTTTGTCAGGTAAGACTGGACAACCCCGTAGAACATGCTGTTGGACACGAGCATGCGGACGACCCAACCGACGATGCCACACCGAGGACGGAGCACAAGCGGACACAAACGCATAGTGAGGACGCGGGACTAACATCGTGTATAATCCACCCGAGCTTGGACCCCTAAGAAGCACTGCCTTGGTGACGCGGTCCTTCACAAAAAAACAAGACGGATGAAACTCGAAAAAAACATCATTATCAGCGGTAAATCGTTGCACAAATAATAAAGACATGGATAAATCTGGGACATGCAATACACTAGACAAACGTAACAATTTAGAGGACGCGAGAATCGAAGCATGCCCAATACGAGAGATGTCTAAACATGTATCGTTGCCAACCCGTAGCACGTCACTGCCAACATATTCCTCCAATCCAGCCAACAATGCCGCGTCCGGCGTAGCGTGTGACGTCGCACCGGTATCCGGATACCAGGCCGACGCATCGGAACCCGCCGAGTGCACATCGTCGTCACCGGTCACAGCCGCATGAGCCTGAGGAGGTGGACTGTCGGTGTAGCGGCGGAAACAATACACTGTTGTGTGCTCGTGGCTGCGGCAGATTTGACAGCGTGGCGTACCTCCACGACCACGACCTTGCCGACGGCCCGACGCCGCCTCGCTGGTTCGAGCGTCCTCCGCCACGCGACTACCGTCCTCCATTCCCGGCACCATCCTGCTTTCGTCTACGACCAGCACCCATCGCCGAAGGGGAACTAGTACATAATGCCGTCGCACCGGAGGGGAAGTCATCGGAGAGGATGAACTCCTGCGCCTGTAAGAAATCCGGGAGTTGCGGGATTGTCACCGGCGTACCTGAAACCGTCAAGGAAGCTGCCATGGCTTGGAACTCCGGTCTCAATCCCCGGAGGACGTACAGGTTCTGTTCGTCCAATGATACGGGGCAACCGGCCAGAGCCAAATTTTCGATGATCAATTGAGCGCGGCCAAGGTACTCAGCCGGTGAACTGTCGCCTTGCGGGAGTGCCTGAAATTACCCGAGCAGGTTGAGAGCCCGTGCCTGAGTGGAGGAGCCCAGCGCCATTTATACAGAAAGCCAAACCTCACGAGTCGTGGTGCGACCGACGACAAGGTACATTACCTCCTCAGAAAGTGACGAAATCAACAGGGATATGATCGACTGATCCTGTTGCACTCAAGGGGGGTAGTCCGGATTGCTGACGCTGGAGACAAGTTCGCCGGAGACGGCATCTGCGACAGACTCAATGGTGGCCGAAGGACATGGCTAGGAGCCGTCTACGTAGCCAAGAAAACCCTGTCTACGAAGGAACGGTATTAATTGGGTGCGCCAGAAGAGGGAGTTGCGAGAGGTTAACTTTATGGAGACAAAGTGGTGTGCGGAGGATAGTTGGTTGGGGTGGTGGGGGTTGGCTGGAGATGGTGACTGCACAGTGGCAGCAGTCAGCGTGTGCTCAAAGGAAGCGGAAGCCATCAATAAGGGATAGGGAGGGCCAATCGTTTAGCGATAGAAAAGGGAAGAAAGAGAATCCTAACACTATCTGATACCAGATGAAAGAAGAATACAATGTGTATTGATCATTAACCGTAAGATGATACAGAAAGAATATTAGTATAAGCTATCTATTCCTATACACTAGGTGAGATGTAACAAACTGTACCTAATCAAAATACCTAATATCTCTAAAACGAAGTGTATCCAATCAAATGGCGGGACAATATTTTCTGAAACATAAGGTTAGCTAGCAGGTAATTTGGACAAGCACGTATACGCAGTCTAGCAAAAATTTGAAATTGAATGTTAGGAAATACAATGGATTCAATGCCTGACCATGTAAACAAGGCCTATTTACCAAAACAGTATACGGGTTGACATCAACAAACTTCAGACCATTCCCCCTACCACCCTGCCAAACAATTTGCAACTAATTCCCCAATGGGAAGAGAGGGGATCACAGCTCCAACATGAATTTCAATGATACAGTCTGAAAAATATGTTTGTTTTTTTGTGTCCAAAATCTCAAAATGTGTAACAAGATCTCAAAACCTCATGATTTGAACAAGATGAGTACAAGTCTTAGGAAAGTTTATTGGAGTCCCGTGCCAACATCCAGCAATGCATCTTTTTGTCATATATTAGCAAGTTCAAGAGACCTGGTCCTCTGCAATGGGAGACACAGAAGCTTCGGCCGAAGCCGAAGCTGAACCGTCATTGCCACTTGTTGGATTGTCATCTGCATTCATTAACTGGGGACTACCAGAAGAAACAATGCCACTTTCGGATTCGTTGCATGCATTTTCGGCATGCACCTCATCAGTCAAACAAGACTCCCTGGCAGCAGGTGTTGTGTGAGATAAATCATTTGTGTCTGTAGTATTCCCTACCTCGTCGATATCCATTCCAGCTTTTGGGCTTCCACTTGGCTGTTCCTGAGCATTATCTGTCTGCTCGTTAGGATTCTCTTGAGCTGTGTCATCTGCCATGGAACTTTCAACTTCTGTCTGCTTGTTAGGACTTTCTTGAGCTGGGTCAACTGCCATGGAACTTACATCTTCTGTCTGCTTGTTAGGACTTTCTTGAGCTGGGTCAACTGCCGTGGAACTTTCATGTTCATTTACGGAGGCAACAGGTTCAGGATCTTCATTACTCGGTGCAACAATCATTTTATTGTCTGCAGCATCACCCTCAGCCTTAGCAAGTTCGAGAGCACGATTCTTTGCCTCAATTTCTTGCATTTGTGCTTGCTTTTTGTACTCATCCATGAGATGTTCAATTCTTTCTTTCTCTACCAAGAGGTCTCCATAGCGTTTCTGTAAGGTACGCTCAAGCTCTTTCTGCTTCTGAACTTCTTCCCAGATATTATTGATCCTGTTTGATGCTGCAAGCTGCTCTTGCTTTTGCAACACTTGGAAGCATTCAAGTTCAGTCCCAGCAGTGTCCATCTGCTTGAAAGTTGCCTCAATTTGTGACCAAAATTTTCCAGCTCGAAACTATTCACCAAAAGTAAAAAGGGAGTTACAAATGAATTTTTTTTAAGTTAAAGTGAACTTTAATGAACAACCAAAATGAGAAATATGATAAGTGAACATAAAGCAAATGTAATGAATAACCAAAATGAATCATCCAAGAAAAAATGAAGGCTCACCTGGTATCCATTTGTTAGAACCTTAACCTTCTGCTCAAGCTTCTGAGCCTTCTTAGTGTCATCATTCATTTTCTTCTTCACATTCTCAAATTCAGACAGCAGAGCACTGAGCTTCTCCATGTTTCCAGCAACACTGGAAAGACCATAGGCATTCCGTGTAGGGAAGTACATGATGTCACTTGAGCATGTTTTGTGTGCTTCGACAAATTCATCTACAGATTCAGTCTCATGCCCCATTGCCACACGCAGAAACTGAGCCTCACCCTTGATCAAATCCTCAGCCTGTATTGTTGGAAGTTGTTACTCAACAGTCGGGCAATACCAAGAATAGTTAACTACATATGCATAAGAGGAAATTAAAAGAAGATAAAATGAAATTTGCAACCACAGCCTCCCAACTATAATCAATTCCCAGTAAAAATTATGATAGCAGAATTAGAGAACCCCTTACATGAAATAGTGGAAAACATCTCTATAACTCCAATAAAAGGCCAGATTACATACTGTTTAATTTAGTGATGAAGGTAAAATCAAAGTCCAACCCAGCATAAACCATTGATTATTTATTTATTCATCTTTGACAGGCATCCTGAGTAATCATCTGTTATGCATTTTAGATGAAATAATATGTTTAGGACTTCATTTATAATGCAATGTAAGAACACGTGACATCTCTTGAGGGTAGAGAGATGCTCTGTCATCTTAGCTGAATTTATCATATTTCTCTCATATTATATATGAAGTAGTTTCTTTTAGGTCATAATAGCAACCAGATCATTTCACATATGTCATACCAACCAAGTGTTTTGGCACTCACGGGCTACTAAGCCTTCCAGAAGCCTTCAGTAATCAGTACTAACTTATCTTATACACTATGTAGTTTCTTCAGAGCCATAATAGAAGCCCATCAATTTTAACTCTGATACACTGACCAAGTTTTGGCTCTCCTGGGTTCCTAAGCCATCTAAAATCCTCTTGCACTAAAACACACATGATAGACTTGAATGAATTGATTATATATGTAGTACAAGATGAAATATGTTGAGAATTTAATGAAGTGTTCAAGATATGCAAGACTTAATACTTATGCATAGTCTGCCAGACATGAATTTTCCTCTGTTGAATAATCATGTCTACAAGGAAAGAATCATGGATATGCATGGGTATATTAACATTATCCAATGCAGTCAAATCAATGTATACGTAGTAACAGAAGATATACACAACACACCTCACAATGATGAATGATGAAATGTCAAAAATAAACATTGCCTTGCATAAATGTATTGAACCTGTGTGCTACACAGTGTATTTACATCCACCATCACAAGGCAACAAAATGTTATCCAAGGATGAGAAATTATATAACAAAATACGTACCTCCTTGAGCTCATCTTCTTCAAAATCTTCAATCACAGGCACAGGAACAGATTTTCTTTTGGTACCTTTCTTCTTCTCTTTTTCTGATTTCTCATCAATAGGATACTTCACATTATCATGTTCTAACAAAGATAGAAGCTCTTTTCTTATCAGCTCATCAGCCTGCTCAATTAGTGTAGGAGGAACAAAGGAGCTCTTGTCTTCATCAGCTCTTATTAATGAACTCTTAATTAGGTCCAATGAAGCAGCAGGAGGTCTTGGGAGATCCCTCTGTAGTGCTTTTGATCTTTTCCGGAGTAATGCTTGCTGCCTTGCTTCTTCTTCTGCCTTCTCCCTTGCAATCCTTTCAGACATATCCTCTTCAATCTTCTCCTCTGGTTCTTCACTTTCTTCAGGTAGTGGTTGCATGACAATCTGGTATTCATTCTTCGGATTTGGAAGACCTTGTAAACCGGAACGTAGTTCTCGTCTGGAATCCGAACGCCCAACTTTTCCGCCATCCATGTCCATTTCTTCATTAATGTGCAGCTCGTCCCTCATTGGAGTCCCTTTTGGCGTCATTCCAAAAGAATATCCATCACTTGAAGGGGTCATGCCAATTCTAGGAGTGAGACCTGTCCCTCCTGGTGTTGCTGAAGGGGTCAAGAGGGGGTTTGGTGTTTGTATCTCCTTCTTTTTAGGAGTCACACCAGAAAAGTCAGAAGGATGCAACATTGGGTTCTCCCCTCCCAGTAGTGGTGTTTGAGACTGACTCAATCTTCTTTGGTTTTCTGCTTCCATCATTATAGCATCCTGCTTGTTTGCAGGTGTTCTTTGTGGGGTTCTTAGTGGAGTCATCCCCTGCCGTGGAGTCTGGGTATAATTTGCAACAAGGGCACGAGTTGCAGCATTCCCTTCCAGAAGTTCCTCACTCCCAATGAGATCGCTGGCAATGCCAAACTTAGAAATAGCCTCCAATTCATGATCTGAAATTTGTGGAGCAGGAAGATTCAGTTTAGTCCTCTTCCTCACTGTTTCAGGATCATTAAGCTTGTTGGCATGGAGAATGGCTGAAGGGGCATCCTGCCTTTGGGCAATTTTATTCCTAGCAATATCCTGCTTTCTCAGACGGGCCTCCTTATCTACTCGTCTTTCACCTTCAAGTTCTTCAATAGTTGTTGGGAACTTAGGTTGTTCCACCGTACGGTCTTCATCAGTAACATCATAAAATCCTGGAGGTGGTTTCTTCTCAAAGGGTATTTCAGCATTATAGTCAATACCCTTCCTTTTTCTCTTTCGATGTCGAACATCAATTCCAGCTGCCTTCAACTCTCTCCTCTTTTGTAAAGAAGCTAGCCTCCGAGCCTCTTCGAGTTGTTTCTCTCTAGCTTTCCTTTTGGCCTTCTTGCCTCTTGTATTGGCAAGCCGTGCGCGTGCTTCAGAAAGCATCTCTTTCTCATCCTCATCCATATCAACAGGATCAGGACGAGCAGGCTTTGATTCTGGATTTGGATCAATCTCTCCTGGCCTCAGTTTCCTTGGATCATCACCTGCTTCATAATTCTCATCCTTGGCACATGCTGCATCAAGGAGCTTCTCATAGCGTTCCAGGCACTGTGATGGCGTACGGCCCACAATAGGTGCAATGGTTCTCCACTGTGTGGGCATAAGCTTTGCAAGGTGAAGCAGCTTCTCATCTTCTTCTCTAGTCCACTCAGTCTGCAATGTCATTAACAGTGATTGGTCAGCTCCAAAATCTCAATATTCCCACCAGAAAGGTGCACACGTAAATATTAGTTATGTAAAAAATTCTTGGTACCAGAAAGTTCAACAACATACGTTACCTGGAGATGCTATAGATAAAGAGATAATCATATACTCATATAGAATGAGCAGAGTTGTACATCATGCAAGGAAAATGTCAAAAGCAAAGCAAACAGTTTATGAAACACACTAATCTACTTTGTTAACAGTAAGCATTCCTTTTTACCAAATTCATTCAGTCTTACACTCTTACCTTGCAAGCACTCAAGCAGTACTTATATTCAGCTATCAATTTTTTAGCACAATTTACACACTGAATGCTATGCTCAATCTTTCTATCAAATCAAAGTTATAGTCTACCATTTAATGTGTATGGTAGACTTAAGTTACTTTTAATTCAATTTTTCATAATATTAAGTTTAGTATTAGTATATAAAATTTATATATATAAAATTTAAAAACTACATTAAAATTACTATTAAGCACAAAAAATTAAATTTAAAAATAATTTAAAATTACTAAGAAAAATAAAAAGAGTTAGATAGATAGGTAATTACGAAGGGATTACATCTAGTCTAGATTTATAAATAGATACACACTTGTTAAGAAATAAGAAACAGAAACAAAAATAAAGACTTGCCTTTTTGATGGAAGGGTCGAGCCACTCATACCAACGAGCTTTGCACTGCTTGGCAGATTTACGAACAAGAAGGGAGGAGATACGGGCCCACTGGTTCTTGCCATACTTCATGACCGCTGCCTTCAGGATCTCGTCCTCCGTGTTCTTCCATACTCCTCCCTTTATCATAATCCTCATCTTCGCTCACTGTTTCTACCTCCCGGAGGAGGACCTTCGCTTCTCCTGAATAATAACTTACTAAAACTCGAACCACCGATGTACCGGCGGTGCTAGGGTTTGCAAACCCCGCGATAACTGAGACGAAAACCGCTCCGCCTCCCTAGATATCGACGTTCATATGCATACTGTGAACGTATACGCTTGGCGTTTCCTCTGTGTCGCAGTTTTCGTGTGTAGATTTGGATGATAATGGCTGTGAAACCATGAATCGCTTCAGTCCCCTGAATCTGAGCAGAGCTCCCTTAGCTATTTGTTGCATGTCGAAAGGGTTTTTCTTATGTTATTACAATATAATAATGAAACTTGTGAAGTAATTGGGCCACCCAAATTTGACAAGTGATCCGGCCCATTCTTGTGATCCCCACATGGAATTTTTCTTTCCCTAGTAAAAAATTACCGTACTAATTAGAGCAACCACATCAATACAAAATAGGGAATAATGTAAGTTAAATTCTCTCATGTTAAAGATAATAATCAATATGGATAAGAAAGAATACAAAATAATTCTCCTGCAAAGAGTGGGAGAATGAAAGAAAAAAATAAAAAAATAAAAATAAAGCAACGCACGGACTGCGCGTATCGCGCAGTCCAAGAGGAAGGCCGGGCGCGTGCACTTCACACGCCCGGAGACGCATCAGGTGCGCCCGTCGGCGCGCTTAACGTGTTTGATTTCATTAGTTTTTCTTATATTTTAATTTTTTTTGTTTTGTTTTGGTTTTTTTTTCCTCCCCTCCTACATTCTCTTTCCTAATCACTCTTACATTATCCTCAAATTTCTCCAACGGATGCGGATGCTCTTACACGGAAGAATGGAGCATGATAATTTAATTTGAACTAATATATATATATATATATATATATATATATATATATAAGTATTTTTTATGCGCGATGCGCATAAAATAAGTGCCCAATATTAATACATTATATTAAAATTTTAAATTTATTTAGATTTTAGATATTTAAATGAGTCTAAATAATAATAATAATAATAATAGTAATAATAATAATAATAATAATAATAATAATAATGTAAATTATTTTTATAAATTTGATATTTATATTTTAGGTAATAATTAATATATAACTCAAATATATAATGTGTATATATTATTATTAATGAAGAAGATAAGAAAATATATGGTGGATGCATGTGCATGGTAACAAATAACAATAGTAGAAAAGATAACGGAAGTTATAACGGTAGGGGTATGTTTGTCCAAAATATTTTAATGTACAACCTTTATAGCATAATGTACAAAAAAACTTAATGGAAAAAACAGACATAAATGAGGGGTATAACTTTCATTCACACTTATTATGTTTTTAGATTTAGATTATAAAAGAAAGTTCAAATGCGGCGGGGTCTTCTTGTGCGGCGGTGCTGTGGAATTTCCGAATACACCAACAGTGTTAACAACATGCACCAACAGTGTAAGAGAAACACACCACAATGAAGTTAAAAAAAACACCAAAAAATACACAACAGACCTAAAAAAAAAAAATACACCATATAACTCATCACCCCCAATGGTGTATTTCCAAACAATGTATGGTGTTTTTACTCACACCTAATGGTGTATTTTTGGTGATGCGTACCTAATTTGTGTGTATTTTTATGGTGTCTTTTCCTAACGTTGATGGTGTATATTTGTTGAACTATTGGTGACACCGCACCGCCACACCGTAAGACACCGCCGCACCTGAACATTCCTCTATATATATATAATATAAATATATAAATCTACTAATCTAATAATCTACTTTCTACTATCTACTATCTACTATACTAATAAAAGCCAAAGTGAGTTATGCCTATAATAATATATACCATACTAATAAGAGCCAAAGAGAGTTAGGCATATAATGGGTAGAAAAAATGACGGTCAAATCTTTTAATCAAATTAATGACTAGATCTTCTTAATTTATCCTTAATTACATGATTATCCGTTAAATTTTCTGTTAAATATTATCTTTTCCATTAAATATTATCTTTTCCGTTAATTTCTGTTAGTTCACCGTTAACTTACTCATTGGTTTCAATAAGAAAGGTCTTGGTAGGGAATATCGCGACCGACATGCCTTCGTCCTAGAAGAACCCGGCCGGTTCCCGACCGGTCATCACCCGACCGGAATCGTCGACCACCGAGCGGTAGCCCTTAGGCAAGAAAGTTGATAAGAGACACGTGGCAACGCTACGTGTTGACAGGCAGGGCACCCGGGAGGACGACACGTGGTTGCTACATGGGCGACATGCCGGACGGCCGGACTTGTGTCTCCGGCCTCGCGGCTATAAATACCCGCGGTGGCAACAGTGTGAGGGACTTTTGGACGATCGATAGGTTGTTATCAGAGCATCCCGACCGCAGTCAGTCGGTACTCGGAACAACCATTTAGATTGTACTTAGGGTCTTCACCTTGATCAATAAAAGACATTTAATTGCTTTAATGTCTTGTGTTTATTTATTTCCGCTTACGTGGCAATTAACATTATCATTTTGGCGTTGTCTGTGGGGACCCGTGCACGAAAGCTAACGTCTTTACGAGCACCTGTCCTTTCTATCACAATGTATCCCTTCGCATACAACTTGTTCGGTGACGATCAAGCGGATGCGGCGAGCTCATCCGAGCATCAGCCCCGAGCATCAGCCGACCCAGTATCAAGGTCAAACAGTCGACCTTAATCTCAACCTCTCACCACCCCATCCAGCAGATTAGTATCCGGCCGCCCAACAGCCGGTCAATTACATTCAGTCGGGATATCCAACACCTGGTCAGCAGCCCAGTTCCCCGTGAAGTATCCTTACCCAGTCCCGCCACCTCCATACGGGTACTGGCCCGGTCAGCCAATGTTCTACACACCACCGGCCGGCTATTCCCCTTATACGCCTGCGTACACGGCTCCAGCCGCCGCCCCTCCGGTTTACCCGACTGCTCAAGTAAAGCCGGAGCATCAGCCCACTTCCTGGGCTCGACGCTCGGCTCGTTCGTGGTTGGGGTCGGGGGGTGCTGATGCGATGGAGGTACCACGGCAGGCTCCACAAGTACAACCGGAGGTCCAAGCCCAAGCGGAGGACCCCGAAGAAATCAACCAGGTGGCGGCTTTTTAGCGCCTCCGACCGGCGATGCGACAACGATTGGGACCACAAGACCCGAGCCGGCGCTCGGGAGATGTACAGATGCAGGAGGCTAGCCAGGAGGCTTCGTCCGGGCACAGTTGGTCGAGATCTCACCGTCGACGACGCGCTCGGGAAGCAACTCAGGCCCGGGCGGCTGAGCTCAACGAGACCCGAGGACTGCTCCACAACCTCCAGGCGGAATTCGCTCGATTCCGAAACGAGCATGCAGTGAGGCCTCCAGTCGTCCTTATTGAGGACTCCATTTACAGCGGAGATAATGGCCCAGCCATACCCGCTCGACTTGCAGGTCCCGGGAAATAAAGGTTACGATGGCCGTACGGACCCTGAGGTCCACGTTAACGACTACTATGGCAATATGATGATGATGGGCGTGTCAAACGCCGTGATGTGTAGGGCTTTCTACTCCACGCTTTCCGGTCGGGCGGTGGAGTGGTTCCGAACGTTGCAGCCGGGTTCTATTTATGATTTTCCAACCCTGGTGATGAAGTTCGTGCGGAAGTTTATTACTTCTAAGACGGTGAGGAAGCCCTACATGTACTTGGAAAAGGCCAAGAAGCTTGAAGGGGAGAGCTTGACCGATTTCTTTGTTAAGTGGAAGGCCGCGGTCGGGGAAGCCGAGCCAATGGACGATGCCACCGCCACCCACATGCTTCACATTTCTCTTCGGGCGGGTTATCTTTATCAAGATTTCATCCTCCATCCCCCGGCTACATACGAAGAGGCCATTCGAAGGGTCACAGATTATGCTAACGTCGGCGAGGCAAACGCCGTGAAACGCTCGCAGGAGGTCGGGTCTTCATCTCGTAAACCAGCCGGCCGGGCGGAACATCGATCGGGTGATGATCATCCCCGATCCTGCACTGGGCCTGGTGAGTTTACGGCCCTGAACCGATTCGCAGCGGAGGCCATGCAGTACGCACATTCCTGCAATCTCATCAAACTCCCCCATCCCGGACAAGACGGACCGGACAAGGGTAAGCACTGCGCTTAGCATCGATGTGCTGGGCATGACACTGAAGAGTGTACCCACCTACGCCAGCTATTAGAAGATTTGCTCAGTATTGGAAAGCTGGACAAGTGCGTGGGGAAGAGAGAAGAAACAAAGAAGAATACCGATCGGAGAGATCATCGACGTTCACATCACCGCTCTGATCGCTCCGATCGTGATGAACGTTCAGACCGGTTGGGTCGTGACCGTAGGGATGATCGCAGGGACGACCACCGGGACCCTGACCCTCCATCAAGCAGCCGGCCGGCTAGCAAGCCGACCATCCACGTAATTTTTGGTGGATTGGATGATGCTTCCCGACCGAGGGAGAACTGCCCGGTCGCCATCGTAGATTCCCGGGACACCGGGAAGAGACAAAAAATGGAGCCCATAACCTTCTCCCTTGAAGACCAACCTAGTAGCGGTGACCATGGCATGGAAGCTCTCGTGGTTACCATCGATGTCAATGGGACGGACGTCCAGAGGGTTATGGTAGACACTGGGAGCAGTGTCAACGTCCTTTATTTGGACGTGTTTGAGAAACTTGGACTCGACAAGAGAGAGTTGATTCCAGTCGGTGTACCATTGTCGGGATTTACCGGGGCTCTTATCCGCCCTGAAGGAAAAATCACGCTCCCAGTGGAGATCGGCACCCCGCCGAAGTCAGTAAAGACCGAGATGGAATTTTTTGTGGTGAACCTGCATTGCGTCCACCCGAGCGGTTAACAGACGTGATTCTGGTACGTCTTCTCGGGTGAACACGATCGCCAAGGAGGTTTCCAACGACCGGAATGAGCAACCCGAGCCTTCCGAGGAAATCGAAGAAGTTCCCCTGTCCGAGGACCGACCGGACAGGAAGATCAAGATTGGCCGGGCCCTTACCCCCGAGCTCCGAGCAGAAATTTTGGCAGTCCTCCGGGAGTTTGCCGATATCTTCGCATGGGGGCCCGAAGACATGCCCGAGATCGACCGAACGGTCATTTGTCATAAGCTGGCCGTTGATCCCGCAGTTAAGCCGGTCGTGCAGAAGACCCGACACCTTTCATCCGATCGCCGCGAGTTCGTTAGAGAGAAAATGGCGGCGATCGAGCACATCCGACCGGTAATCTATCCCGAGTGGGTGGAAAATATTG